TAATAAAAGCCCAAGTAGGCTACTTCGCAAAAGCATGGGGCGCCAAAATCGTATTTTTGCTGGTTTGCACCCAGGGACGTCATTAAATTTCTAATGGGTGGGGGTGGAACCAAAACGTGAGCGGGTTGTTGAGTTGTTTATTACTGGAGGCGCCACAGTAGGCCTACACAGCAATTTGAATAATTTAAATAAGAATTGGTAGATTATGATTTATGTTTTCTATTGATAATTTTAAATGAACGAAAAGTTCTTTATTCCGTATTTATTTCTGCTTCGTTTGATTTTCTGCTATCCTAGATAGCCTACTGGTAGGCTACCTAGTAAAAGAAAAAAAAATAGTAATCGTGCAATTAATCCTACCCAAATGACGTCCCTGTTCTCCCCGGGTGGCACTTTTTCTATTTATTGAGGGGCGCCATTTTCAGACTTCGCCCTGGTCGCCGCTTCCTCCGGCACATCCATAAAGATAGGGAAAGGAAAAATCAGGTGAAAATAAAGGGGGGGGGGGGGGTAGTCGGGTTTTCGTAAAAACATATATGTTGGTACATGTTTAGATGATTGAATTATGCTGTAGGGTTAAAGCTAAAGCTTTGCACACACACAAAACTTTTTTTTGAAACTATACATACAAGAAGATAGGGAAAGGAAAAATCAGGTGAAAATAAAGGGGGGGGGGGTGGTAGTCGGGTTTTCGTAAAAACATATATGTTGGTACATGTTTATATGATTGAATTATGCTGTAGGGTTAAAGCTAAAGCTTTGCACACACACAAAACTTTTTTTTGAAACTAAGTAACTCCTGTTATATTTATATTGTATGACCATTTACTTGTAGTAGTGGTTCTATATGACAGGCCTGCACAATATACGGCCCGCGAACCGCATGTGGTCCGCCAGCACCCTCTTTGTGGCCCGCGATGTATCGAAAAACTCGTTATTCTTATTATTTTTTTAATAGCTTTCCCCCCTGACCTATATTTGTTTGGCTCGCACAAGTCCTGTCCTATTTTCTTTTGGCTGGCACACGTTTTTCATAATGCTTTACGGCCCGCCTTACATTTTGAGTTGTGCAGGCCTGCTATATGATATAGCCACAGCCATAGGCATAGGCTATAATAATATAGGGGCCACCCATTAAGTGCGTCACGCTATTTTTGACCATTTTAACCCTGTCACAAACTGTAACAAATCTCGGATTCCCCCCCCCCCCCACCTCAAACTTCCCAACAATTTAAAAAAAAAAAATTAACACCTAATTAAAATTTAATCTAAAACAGACTTCACTATTAAACTGTATAAAATATAAAATTTCCACTTAATTTCTACTATCACATTAATAAAATGACTTTGATAGTAGAATAGTTAATTATCAACAGTTGTCACAGTTATTCATTGAAGCAGTAACTCAATCTAGATTGAATTTGAAAACAAAAATTGCAAAAACTAGACTAGACAATTATAACATACTCATACACATCATTTATCTGCTGCTTTTTCATTTACAATAGGTGAGGTCAAGTTTTAGATAATCTTCCGATTATACAATCTTTTTACACAGGTTAAGAAGTATATTAGAGAAACTTGACCTCACCAAATGATTAAATAATAAAAAGGACAGTAACATAATTATGCAGCGGACAACATAGAAATAATAATACTTCAGGAAAGACGAAAGCAAGGCTATACATAAAACAAGGCTTCGCAACAGCATACTAGCGCTCCTAGCGAGAGGAATCGTGAACAACACATTAAGGAGATATGTATTTCATGCTATTTTGACATAAAACTAATTCAAATGATAGACACAATTTTAGAAAATGATTTTTAAAGCTATTAAATTCCACTAAAAAAATAAAAAAATATAAATTAGAAATAAAATTTAACAAAAATAAATGTGTGACGTCACACATGGCCTGACCCCTCCTCCCCCTGTCACAAACTGTCACACTTTCTTAAACCCCCTCCCCCCCCCCCCTCTGGATCGTGACGTATTGTATGGACGGCCCCATAGGGCTATGCCTTCCACTAAAAAAAAAAAAAAATATAAATTAAAAATAAAATTTAACAAAAATAAATGTGTGACGTCACACATGGCCTGCCCCCCCCTCCCCCCGTCCCAAACTGTCACACTTTCTTAAACCCCCCCCCCCCCCCCCCTCTGGATCGTGACGTATTGTATGGACGGCCCCATAGGGCTATGCCTGTCTGTTTACTATCAATTTGGAGTTCAGATTAATTTTGCAAATGTTTTTCTTGTAAATGACTGTTGTTATGATACATCATTACACTCCAATACATCATCTTGGGTTCATAGCTTGTGATATTGGTCAAAATTGATGTTTACCATAATTTTAAGGGTTTAATTGAAGATATAAACTGGATCTATGTATGTTTGATACCGGGGAGCACCTTCAAAGTACAAGTGGGGCGGTACTTTTGTTAATTGCCAAATAGACTGATTGAATATGTGTGTGTCTATGTGTGCGTACGCAATTTTGTAAGTTCGCTTAGGAAAACTTAATGTCAAGGTAAGTCGATCAAGTAGGCTTATTGATTTACCGACGATGATTTCTTTATAACTTAAACCATACTGGCTACCCATCTCACTCGTCTGCTGCACGAAAATTCTGATTGGATAAAACTGGGGGTGTGTACAAATTGAATTTAGGTCATGGTCAAAGTTTATTGCGCGTGCGCGCGTTTGAGAAAGGAATAAAAACATTTGCCGGTTAGTTTTAAGTTAACCAAATTAAAGGTTTATTTTTCCTTCAAGTCTGTACACTTTATTTTATAAGAATAAATATTTTATTTTGAAATAATTGCAATTCATTTTAAAATTATAAATTTTTTTTTTAAAAACCCAACATTCAATGTAAATAATAAATTGAAATACCCTATTGCGCATTGACTTCATGTCTAAAAATATTCGTATGACCTCTTCCTAGGCTATCAGCTGATTGACGAGAACCGGCATTGTGCAACGTGTACCTACTAACTACACACTCGTGATGATTCACTTTGTTTTTTTAAACCATGTAAATTTTAATTAATTAACTAATATAAATAATAAAATGTGTAATTTTTGGGCCTAGCTATGTCGTTTATTTTAAAACAGCTATAGGCTTATCGAATAATGAAGACACTCACAATGGTAGCTAGTGAAAAAAAAAAGTTATCTTTTGGTCGGTGTGTAATGACATGTGTTAAATGTGTAACTTTTGTTGTGCTGGCAACTAGCTTTTACTTTTAACTTGTTTGACTACTAACACTACAAAACAGCGGAGACTGCTCACTGGTGTGTTTTGATAATTATAATATGAAGGATATTTACTTATTAAACAGTGCTTAGGACTAAGCAGGCAGAATAACTTGTTGATGCAGATTATTTAAATTATTGGAAAGTTGAAAGATTAGCGTTTTATCAGCAACACTAGACTATACACTATATCCTATATTCTATATTAATATCGATATCGTAGTATGGGAAAGTATAGATCATTTTATTTATATTTAAACTTAAATTTATTATAGTCAAAGTAGGCAAGTTATTAAAATTATATGAGACTATGTTATTATTTATAGTTATATATTATTACAAAACAGTTAATTGAGTTAACCTATAGAACTTTTAATTTTAATATTTATTTATATAAGGTAATATATAATTTATAATGTGTATTAGTATTAGTATTAGTAGTATTATAGTATATAAAGTAAAGTTTAATTAATTTAGTTAAAATACTTTTTAATAGCTGATGACCAACTTGCAAGGGAAACGCTGCACACCACTGTACTGAAATCACAACTTAACTTCACAATAAAAATAATATAATATAAAGCAAGGGTTAGGGGACTCAGTCAAGGGTAAGTTTATAGTTTAAATACTATACTAAAAAGAGAAAGTGATTTACTTAATAATTTTGAATTTCTTTTTTCTGAAAAGGTTAAAAGGTAGTAATTGTAGCCAAACAGTTTACTTAACTTAAACTTAATAACTTAATGAATTTAATTTAATAGTAAGCAAGAAAAGTGAGAAATACATAGGATGAAGAGTAAGACTAAGAGAAATAAAATGTCAATGTTGCTCAATGTTAATGATTTAATGTAAGCTTTATTTCTTAGATTTGTTATTGTAAGGTTTATTTCTTAGTTTTTAACAAAAACTAATTTTACCATTGATTTTCAACAAGTGTGTAATAATTCACAGTTGCATGTAATACAGACCTGTTGACTCTTATGATTTTGGCGTACAATTGTACAATTTAGAGGCGTATAATTATATATACTGTATGTTTATTTTTTAATTATTAAGATAATGTATTGAACGATTTTGTGATGATATTGTACGATTTTAAGAGTTTGAGGGTAAACAGGTCTGGTAATGTGTAACTTGTAAGGTTTTCTGAAAAATAAAATTCTTTTTTTTTTGTTTGTTTATTTTTTGGAGTGAGGGTGGGGGAGGCATCTTTAATATACTTGATACTTACAAAGTTATTGAGTAGACATAATTGGGTTATTTGTATATAGAAGGAACCATAAATTTTTAATCTTAATTATATTTTGTTTAGATACTGCAAATCTCTGAATGTGGCTTAGTCTACGCCACAATATTTTTCATTATACTATGAGTGTGTCTCAATATTTTTCATTATACTACAAGGGTGTCTCAAATAATTTTTCTTGTTAGTTTAAGTGTGAAGTTGCATAAAAATGGATTTTAAACTGTTTGTCTTATATCTGAACTATCAGTGTATAAATAAAGACTTCTTTTCAAAAAGGCCATGTTAAAACATTACTTTAAGACCCTTAGTAAATATATATTATTTAAGTATTTGTTTAAAATTAAGACATGTGTAATATTTATTATAGGGTTGTTGAGAATGATCTTTTTTCCTCCCCAGCATTCTTCATTATTTCTCACAAAAACTCACCAGCATTTAACATGGCTGAGGATGAAAGACTAGGCTTCCGTTCCAATTCAAAGTGTTCTATACAAGTGCAAAATGTGGTAGATTCTATGCAATATCTCTCTCCACTCTCTAGTCGTGATTATAACTCCAGAAAAAAAGCCCTGGATAACCTATGCCTGCTGGTTGACCAGTACTTGGATGGTTATGGCAGTCCAGTATCCACTGGAGTTCCCGGCCTATTAAATGGTGTGAATAGGGAATCTTACCTACAGTCAATTTTACCAGGATTCCTACGACTGTCAACTGTTTGCCCTTTTGAGGATGTACGAGAGCGATGCTGTCTCTTACTAGGGGAGATTAAGGTAAGCATAAGATAAGTAGAAAATTGTATTGAGGTTTTTATTTTCAGTTTTGGTTAAACATTCATTTTGTGTCATTTTTATGAGTTGCATTATTTATTCTTTAAAAGTTTTAGATCTATTTTTATTTGATCTATCATCTCCTCATTCAAAAAGTATGAGAAAGGAATTAATACTTCTGTTGAGTTCAGTTGTGTACAGTACAGGGTTTCACTAAAGTTTGGGCATGTAGACAAAACCCAAATTTTCATTTCAATACGTATTTTAACATTTTCTTTTATTATTTCGTAACATCATCCACATTATTACCAAAATGTGTGGTGTACAAGTCCATGTGCTTTGTGAGATTCACATAAACGCAATGCAGTAACTCCATATTTCTGTCAATTTGAGCACATTCATTCACGATGCCCTCATGCGGGTGATTCATTTCTCTGATTTTCATGGAGTACATTTTCTTCTTTGTGGTAAAGATGCAATCCCCTCAGACTAAAAAAAACCCTACTTTTACAATGTTGACTTTTAATCTGACATCTGGAAAATTAAATTAACCAAAATAACTTTTATAATCATCTTTTTTTTACTTCTCTTTATTGTTCTAATTATAGAATGTGTAAACAAAAAAAATGAATTTTTGATGGATAAATGAATGTATCTGAGTGAATAGTTTTGACAAAAGAACTGATGTTTATGAATAAATACAGTGCATTAAAGAGTGATAAAGTTTTCAATAAATCCATAATGCTTCTTGATAGGTGTGTTACATATAATATCGTAGAGGGTGTGGTCACATAAAACCAGTTGGTCTCTGTGTAATCAGAAGTGGAGTGAAACAGACGGCACGGGCACCATGGAAGTGTTTTGGTGGCAAATTGCTTCGCTACTGATCAAAATCTATTACGGGTGCAGTCGTGATCGGGTGCTTTCATCAAGTACAGTGTGGTATACTCATTGTGGATGTGTTCCGGTCTTACATGACCCATCTTAAATGTATACCAGAGTTGGGAGACATTTCAGCACCTGATGTAATGGTGGATAGAGAGTGTATGTAACCTGCCAAGGAATCTGTTCTCAGAGCGCCCTAGTCACAAACTATGCCCACAATTCAAATTTTCTCTACAATTTTTTTTTATTAAATGAAAAGAATAAGGACATTTAAAAAACCCAAACTTTTTAACTTTAAAAATATTGGACAAAACCCACCCTGGTCAAAGTAGGGGGCTTTTGGCAGACATTTTTTATTCTTTGGATGTTGTAGCCCAGAATAGAATGGAAATCACACTGAGAATTTCATGAAATAAAATGTTGAAACATTTATTGAAATTTTGCATTGTCTCTGCGTCCAGACTACACTGTCAGCTTATTAGGCTTAAATTAAACATATTAAACTAAATGAACATTGCACAGACGTAATAAGACGACTAAATCATGCCTCCTTTTGTGCACATCTCAACATATCCATGACTTTCTTGTTTTACTACAACCTGCTTTCTTGTGACAGGAGAAACTATGGCTCTTTAAAAGGAACAAGAAAACACATTTTAATATCTCCTTGAAATGTTAGAGAAATTCTGGCAATCAAACCAAATATTTATAATTTAGGCATACATGCAAATATAGGGATATCTAAAATCTATTAAGTGAGAGCCCCGTGCCAGCCCTTTGTACAAAATACGCGCTACACTCGCCCTGACTGCAGTGAGTTGGTCTTTTTTAAAAAATCTGCATATTTAATTACATTTAATTGTATGTAATTGGGTTCAACCAAAGATGTGGACGTGGATTTGCCTGTTTAAACAAACAATACTTATCCAAATAGGCCTACTTATGACTCACAGGAACAGATTTATCAGTTGGTTTTAGTTTCAGATAAGCCAGCAGATACGAAATCTAGATTTTTACATTTAAATTGCATGTATTATTGCCGTCATTGAAGTTATTTTGATGGCCTGACGCAGTGCCGATCAGAAAAAAAATTGTTTGGCCTTGTATTATCCAGTTGTTCAGAGTTTAGTGGACCAAAGTATAAGTCAGGGGCGAAAGATTGCCACTAGCTGCTACAGCACAACAGGCGTCAGATGTTGCCTGCCCTTGCTGCCAGCGTTAAATTTATGGTCAAACTTGGGAAGGGAGGTGGAAGGCGGTGGGGGGTGAGAGATGGGTGGAGTCTTCAACGCCCAGGGTTGACAACAAGACACACCAGCTTATTTCGAGTTTTCTGTTAAAGTCACTCCTCATCAATGACCAAATAGATCTATTTATATTATCTCACTGTAACCGACCAATTGAGCAATTCTTATTGGAGAGATGTGAGAGTAGCTCAATTTTTTTTATTATTATTAATATATTAATTATTTGTCGGGCAGTGGCGTGCCTGGGGGGGGGTGAATGGTTGACTGACACGGGCGGATTTTTTGGTCTTGTTTTTATATAACATTGTTTGGGACGCACTTTTGGGAGTTGGCCTCGGGCTGCATCTAGTGAAGGAGGTACGTCGTTGTCTCTGTGCTGGACTAATGTGTCACGCACAACGTTACTGGTAATTTAGCCACTCTAGGCTGAGGCTTTTTTGTTTAGTCCATACTGCTTTTAAATATGGCTGAGTTTCTTTGTATACATATGTATGACACATACACAGTCTACACTAAAGATGATTGTTTTGACTAAAGCTCGGTCAGTGTGGCAGCCATTGCTCACATTGAACGATTTGTCATTATTATTTTTAATTAAATACTGACTGAATAAAAGTTTTTTTGTTTTTGTTTTTTTAATGATCATTTGTGACGAAAGTTGGCTCGCCTTAGGGTAGAACACCGCCAAGTCTCACCTTTAACTTTTATTACAGTCGAGTAATGCATACCGGTACAACTGCTAGATAATATCTGAATAAAAAAAAATGTCTTGAAACCGTTTTCCTCAGGACAGCAAGTATATTGGCTTATGCGACTTTACTAACTTATATTCTATATACTGGTATATTGTTTTAGATCTTGACGTCCCAAAAATGATTTTGCACACAGTAAGTAGTGGGGAGTGTTTGAAATTATTGTGATAGTACCTAAGGGGGGGGGGGTGTGCACCGTGGCATAGCAACGGTTAGTGCCACCCGGGGAGGGCCAAGAAAAAAAAATGGCCGTACCCCCGCCTTTTTTTTTGGGGGGGGGCATATAAAGAAAAAACTGCGCCCGGGGTGGACCGCCCTTTTCCTTACCCCTTTCTACGCCACTGGGGGTGTATATATATACCGGGTATGTATGCACATCCCGCAATTTGAAATAGAGACCATTTAAAGTAACATAATCCTGTTTGCCTAACTTCATTGCTCCAGCTCTATTACTTTTTATCTCTGTTGTCTTTTGTACTGTACAGCAATGCTCAACTCCCTCATTAAAATGACTACTTCAATGACGGAAAGATATTTTTAACATGCTTAATAGTTAACTTATTTTTTTTTTTTTTATTTTGTTAAAGAGGGACCAGAGCCAGAACGTCACGATTTAAAATGTGGGGGATGAGTTCCGGTTTTCGTGGCTATACGTCTTAAGGTTCGGGGTGTGGGGGGAGGGAGGTGGGGGGTGTGTGTTGAGGGTGTTAGACCCGGCTGAAATCGAGAGATGCCATATTTCAAGTTTTATAAGGAGTTTTTGCAGCCCGATCCATTTCCATTATTTTTTTTTATAGCTTTTTAAGGATCTTGTACAGGTGTTTCATACGATTTATTTAAAAATCAATAAAGATAGTGTTGCTTATAGCATCAATTAGATCAAATGCCAGGGCCGACAAGCCCCGCCTCTCAACCCCTTCGCTTCCAAGTTGGCATGAACAAGGTTTTTTTTGTTTTGTGTTTTTTTGTGTGTGGCACCCTTTCCCAATATTTGCAAGTGTAAAAAACTAGTTGAACATCAATAAAAAAAAAATAAAAAAAATACTGAAATGGCCGCTAAGCGCTAAGACTTTGGATTCTCGAGAATGTGATTGATTTGATGTTTGATTGATTCCAGCGCTCTTTGAGACTCTACGTCACAGAGGTGCAGTTATGTTTTTAATTTAAACATCAGGCTAAATGGCTATTGGCACGCAGAGGCGCAAGGCTATATTTGACGCCATGCTAAATTGCTACGTGCCCGTAGAGGCGCAATTTTTCTTTTGACATGATTCAAAATTGCTAGATGCACAAAGAAAAAAAGAAATGACGATAAATCCAAATTTTATATATATATATATATATATATGTATATATACATTTTCGTCAATTTTCTTTTTGAACGTACTATATCTATATGGTACAACAAAATAATGCATTCAAAAAGAAATAAGACCCAAAATTAGATCGCGGGAATGTAAAATAAAATTCGACCAAACTTCCGTTCGATCAAATTTCCTTTGATCAATTTTCCGTCGAAGAAATTTCTTTCGAGCAAATTTCCAGATACGCAGTCATATTTGTGCGGGCTCAGTGGGTTATCGCTGTTATCGGGGCCTGGAGAAATGTACGCTGCAGCGCTTTCAGAATTAACCGCGTCTTGGAATGGTGGGATAGCAAACAGCATATTCATCTGTTTCATGATAGGATCATATTATTTTCAATCTTTCGCTTGTAAACAATTGTCTAATATAAATAGTTGTCTGATATCGTCACGCCCGAGGCATCTTTTTTTTTTTACATTTGAAGAAATTATATCACGATTAATTTTGACAAGTATTTTCGGATCCTTGTAAGGTCTGTTATCAATGTAGAAGTTAAATATGTTTGGCTTGTATTACCGTAAAACTGTTTTCTAAGGCTCTTGGTCCATTTGTAATAATGAGTACGGGGCTCGGGTTCTAATCCTAGAATATATATTTGGAACCATTTGAAACTTTTGCAGCCGACTGAATACCAGTAACTCTAACGTATTAAAATTGATATTTTTAGGTCAGTTTATGTAGAGACAAAATGCGTTAATTAAACACAAAAAAAGACATATAAACAATTTATTTTAAAACATAAAAAAAACAACAACACAAAAACAACAAAAAAACAACCCAATAAATAAGTTTAACAAAAAGAAGCAACAACAATAAATCCCCTCCGATTTCTGTTACCCCCAAACCCTCCAAGTAGTTCTGCATACACAATGTCTTAGATATACTGTGACGTAGATGAAATCCTGAATTTGGATTGATGATCAACACCACCAGAAAATTATTCTTGAACATTCAATGGGATATTTTGATGGCGAAAGCTGTAGTTGATGTTGCACGCAAATCCCGTAGTTGATTGTATCGACGTGTCCTGCAGTTGATGTTCCCAAAATATCCCGTACTCGATGTTTCCAAAATATCCTGAAGTTGATGTTGCGGCATATCCTGAAGTTGATGTTGCCGGTATATCCTGTAGTTGATGTTTCCGGCATATCCTGTAGTTGATGTTTCCGGCATATCCTGTAGTTGATGTTGCCGGCATATCCTGTAGTTGATGTTGCCGGCATATCCTGTAGTTGATGTTGCCGGCATATCCTGTAGTTGATGTTGCCGACATATCCTTTAGTTGATGTTTAATATCCTGTAGTTGATGTTGCGGCATATCCTGATGTTGATGTTGCCGGTATATCCCGTAATTGATGTTTCCGGCATATCCTGTAGTTGATGTTTCCGGCATATCCTGTAGTTGATGTTGCCGGCATATCCTGTAGTTGATGTTGCCGGAATATCCTGTAGTTGATGTTGCCGGCATATCCTGTAGTTGATGTTGCCGACATATCCTGTAGTTGATGTTTCCGGCATATCCTGTAGTTGATGTTGCCGGCATATCCTGTAGTTGATGTTGCCGGCATATCCTGTAGTTGATGTTGCCGGCATATCCCGTAGTTGATGTTGCCGGCATGTCCTGAAGTTGATGTTGCCGGCATATCCTGGAGACCCGTGACCTTCGGGGGGCCCCGTTTGCGTCACGCCTCTGTTGCCAGCGTTGTGTGGCAAAGTCCTATCATTCCCGAGGGAGCGGTCTCGGCTGACTGAGTTTAAACGGTGAAGCCAGTATTTAAATGCCCATTACCAGTCTGAGAATGTTCCGTGCCGCCTTGTAATCCCAGATTTGAATGTTAAAAACCTCATCTACGATGATGCAATATTCATAATATTATTTTGTGCTTTGTCAACACACTCTCTCTCTCTCTCTCTCTCTCCCCTGGTCTTTACCTGCCGTTCCAGAGAACATTTTCTATTGAAAAAAATCGGTCACAAATCTCTTCAGCCCAAGAACCTCTAAATCAGCGGTTCTCGGCCTGTGGGTCGTGACCCCTTTGGGGGTCGAGCGACTCTCGCATGGGGGTCGCCTAAGACCATCGGAAAACAAACATTTATGAAGTAGAAATGAAAATAATTTATGGCTGGTGGGGTCATCACGACATGAGAAACTGCATTAAAGGGTCGCGGCATTAGGAAGGTTGAGAACCACTGCTCTCTATAAATCTATTTGAAACAATTTGTATACGGGAAATTGAAGTGTTGAAAGATCAGCATGCTTTCGGGATCTCAACGAGTTTTGAGTGTCTGTGCATGATTCAATGGCCAGTTTTTTTGTGTTCTTGTATATGGCCAAGTTACTGCATAGGATACAATGTATTCCGATATACCTTATACACGTAGGAGTGTTTATTGTAATGCTTATATTGTACAGTAATAATCAGTATTAATATCGGTGGGTCAGCTGATTGTTTAAAAAAAAATGGGTTACCGGAAATTTGATCGAAAGAAATTTCGTCGACGATAAATTGATCGACGGTAATTTGATCGAACGGAAATTTGGTCGAATCTTTTTTTCCGTTCGCACGTTGAAATTTTCGTCATATTTCTTTTTGAACGCACTATACTATTTAGTAAAACAAAATAATTCGTTCAAAAAGAAATTTGATGCAAAATTGTTACGTAAAAATTGAAAGGAAGATTCGACCAAATTTCCGTTCGATCATATTACCGTCGACGAAAGTTCTTTCGATCAAATTTCCGGATACGAGAAAAAATGCAATGATGCCTGGATTTTTTTGTTCGCCAGCAAAAAAGAGGTCGTTCCTAAAAATAGATGTCATCCGCTTAAAATAAAAATCCGAGGAAATAGCCGAGTCTGGTCTTATCATAAAACAAAACAATACAACTAAAGCTATCTAGATGTGTACGTGTATTCTGTAACAGGGGTCGGAATTGGTTCTGCCGTTTGTTATATGACAATGCCACTTGTCTGCACCTTGCGTACGATACTAAGTATTATTTTTTTTTGAAAGACACTCAGTTCGGATAAACGACATTTCGGGTAATGGACGGTCCGAAAATAAGATTTGTAAAATTTTTTAAATGATCTGCCGTGTCGAGCCCATCAGCTTGTCCCAAATTTTTTCTGCTCCCTTAACCATGTTGGGCTCTTGAATACGCTACAGGCAAGCGATTCGTTCTCAGTTTATTTCGTATTTGAGGATCTCAGGGCTTCTTTTAAATTGTTTTTTTTTTCTTTTCTAGAATTGCCGGTAGGTCTTCTAGTAATGTTAATAGGCTACAGTAAAGGTTAAAAAGAGGGTAGAGGCGGAAGGGGGTAAATTGGTTTTTTTTTTCTTTTCTAGAATTGCCGGTAGGTCTTCTAGTAATGTTAATAGGCTACAGTAAAGGTTAAAAAGAGGGTAGAGGCGGAAGGGGGGGGGTGGGGGGGTGGGGGGGTAAAGGCGGAGGGAGGGGGGTTCGAGGCGGGGGCTAGCCGAATGACATACAATCTTATGCTAAATTTATCCCCATAGGCAGTCAATAGATCAGCGGCGGTTGTAAGCCTTAAACTATAATAATGACAGTGACGCATTGATCCTAATAACATCATTTGAATACCAATTAAAATGTATCGGCTGTGTCCGTGAAGAGCAGTGTGTCCTCGTAAACTTATTGGTGAATTCGGTCATAACCATGCAGCACGTTAGGGAGAAAAACGAGCCGCCACACAATCGATTGTATAGCTACATATCAAAGCCCATCGTCACACAGGTAAACGCAATGTGACAAATCAATGCTGACATGCACATCGCTGATTCGTGACAGTCGTGTATTGGTGTACCGTTGATTCGTGACATGTCAGTGAGTCATGACTGACCAGTGAGTCGTGACACATCATCGAACCTTGACACAAAAGTGTGTCGCTGCACACCAGTGAGTCGTATCACTTCTAGTGAGTCGTGACACATCGGTGATTTGTGACACATCAATAAGCCGTGTCACAACCAGTGAGTCGTGCCACACGAATGAGTCTTAACACCCAGTGCGTACTCCTGACACCCTGGTTACCGGTCGAAACCGTTCCCCGCAGATACTGTCCCAGATTGAGTTTTAAGCTACAATGTACGTCTATGTTTAAGATACAGATGATGCTCTAAGTCTTATGTGTAAGATAACGGAGGTAAGGGCTCTGACTTGTTTGTATCTTTCCCTTACCACCACCCACCCCACACCCCACTTTCGCCTTAAAAAAAACAGCTATTTCCAAGGCACACACAACATAGGGGGGGGGGACCAAATCATAAACTGGAAAAAACGGGACGCTTTCAAGGACGGGTTGTTTGTTTTTTTTTTTTTTTTGGGGGGGGGGGGGAATTACCAATACTTAAAAACAGTATTGCAAACTGTGCACTCGGCTACTTTCATAGCGTCCCTTTTTTAATACAGTTCCAGTTCCACTCTTTGGAACGCTCCTCCATAAACTTACATTAATGCTTGGGCATAATTAATGTCTACATCAGAAGATAATATCAAATTAAAGAATAAAGTTCAACACCCAAAACAAACACCTGTCGCCCACAAACACCCCCCCCCTTTTTTTTTTCGGCTTCAAGTCTCTTTCGATAAACTTATACATTTACATAGAAGATCTATGGCAGGGACACTGTGGTGGACAGAGCAGCCATCACGCGAGCCCTCATCACTACTGTCACTGGCTACACAGCTAGTCCACATCACTACTGGCACTGGCTACACAGCTAGCCCACATCACCGCAGGCACTGGCTACACAGCTAGCGCACATCACCGCTGGCACTGGCTACACAGCTAGCCCACATCACTACTGGCACTGGCTGGACAGCTAGCCCACATCACCGCTGGCACTGGCTACACAACTAGCCCACATCACTACTGGCACTGGCTACACAGCTAGCGCACATCACTACTGGCACTGGCTACACAGCTAGCCCACATCACTACTGGCACTGGCTGGACAGCTAGCCCACATCACTACTGGCACTGGCTGCATAGCTAGCCCACATCACTACTGGCACTGGCTGGACAGCTAGCCCACATCACCACTGGCACTGGCTGCATAGCTAGCCCACATCACTACTGGCACTGGCTGGACACCTAGCCCACCTCACTATGCCCACATCACTACTGGCACTGGCTGCATAGCTAGCCCACATCACTACTGGCACTGGCTGGACAGCTAGCCCACATCACCGCTGGCACTGGCTGCATAGCTAGCCCACATCACTACTGGCACTGGCTGGACAGCTAGCCCACATCACTACTGGCACTGGCTACACAGCTAGCCCACATCACTACTGGCACTGGCTACACAGCTAGCCCACATCACTACTGGCACTGGCTAGACAGCTAGCCCACATCACTACTGGCACTGGCTACACAGCTAGCCCACAACACTACTGGCACTGGCTACACAGCTAGCCCACATCACTACTGGCACTGGCTGGACAGCTAGCCCACATCACTACTGGCACTGGATATACAGCTAGCCCACAACACTACTGGCACTGGCTGCATAGCTAGCCCACATCACCACTGGCACTGGATACACAGCTAGCCCACAACACTACTGGCACTGGCTGGACAGCTAGCCCACATCACTACTGGCACTGGCTGCATAGCTAGCCCACATCACTACTGGCACTGGATACACAGCTAGCCCACAACACTACTGGCACTGGCTACACAGCTAGACCACATCACTACTGGCACTGGCTACACAGCTAGCCCACATCACTACTGGCACTGGCTACACAGCTAGCCCACATCACTACTGGCACTGGCTACACAGCTAGCCCACATCACTACTGGCACTGGCTACACAGCTAGCCCACATCACTACTGGCACTGGCTACACAGCTAGCCCACATCACCACTGGCACTGGATACACAGCTAGCCCACATCACTACTGGCACTGGCTACACAGCTAGCCCACATCACCGCTGGCACTGGCTACACAGCTAGCCCACATCACTACTGGCACTGGCTACACATCTAGCCCACATCACTACTGGCACTGGCTACACAGCTATCCCACATCACTACTGGCACTGGCCACACAGCTAGCCCACATCACTACTGGCACTGGCTACACAGCTAGCCCACATCACCACTGGCACTGGCTACACAGCTAGCCCACATCACTACTGGCACTGGCTACACAGCTAGCCCACATCACCGCTGGCACTGGCTACACAGCTAGCCCACATCACTACTGGCACTGGCTACACAGCTAGCCCACATCACTACTGGCACTGGCTACACAGCTAGTCCACATCACTACTGGCACTGGCTACACAGCTAGCCCACATCACCGCTGGCACTGGCTACACATCTAGCCCACATCACTACTGGCACTGGCTACACAGCTAGCCCACATCACTACTGGCACTGGCTACACAGCTATCCCACATCATCACTGGCACTGGCTACACAGCTAGCCAAAGTATTACTTGAAGTTATATTATAAATTAGGACGGTTGAGTGATTTGAAAATGTGTTTGGTTAAAAAAAAACGGGACAGGCGTCCCGAGAGACTTTTTCGGGACAACGGGCACGATCGTGAAAAAACGGGTACAATCCTGTTTTTATGGGACGTTTGGTCACCCTAACATAACATGATCACATCTCCTTTGAATTTCCCACCTTTGCACTTACATCCTACTTTTCCGGTCTATATTTAGCCAACAAAAGCATGAATGAATGTTAACAAAACAAAGACTCACGCTTTGGTCAAGCCGTGGGGAAAATGACTACGTCGGGTATTCCTCTAAGATGTGTTGTCCATCTTAAATCTTGCATAGATTTAAAAAAAAAAAAAATGTTTTTTTCAACATTGCATACACCCTATCACGTCTGTCTGTTAACAAAAATTCTTCTTCTGTTTCACACAGGAGCGGGGAAGAGAGCTGAAAATTCCAGAACCGCTGAGCAACGGACCCAGCCACTTTATTCCCATTTCTGAGGTAAGATTGAGTGATTGCGCGATTGAGTGATCTCTTCATTCCTCTCTCAGCTGCTCACACACGGAGCGGTCTGATTTGACTGCGTTTTTGTGTCTTAATGTGTGTGAGCGTCTCACTGTGTGTGCGTGGATGACCGAAGTGGGTGGACTTAAAGGGAAAATTGATTTTCTCCACCAGTTTTGTTGTTTTTGTAGGCAAGGAAAACGGAGGGGGGGGGTGTGGATGTGAAGAAATTTGGGGTGGGGGGATGGTTGGGCACTGGACATTTGGAGATTAGCGTTTATGATTTTAATTTCTTCCATCAAGGAGATTCTTACATTTTTATGTATGTTTTTTTGGCCGGTTGGGGGGGGGGTGGGGGTGGGGATGCATGAGTTTTTAAAGGCTTTACGCGCTGATGAAATATATCTTATTTAAAGATAGCCTCCGACCTATTCTCAGTCTCAGCATGATCTGAATCCTGCCTTTAGTATACATGCCAACCCGTGGGATACATTTGTTTTTTTAAAGTCCAAAAGGATGTAGACTTTCCTTATTAAATCGTTCTCACAATACGTTGATGCTTCAATAACAGTTTGATACATATAACCCCAATATAAATGGCTCCATCTCTGTGGTACAATCCACCCCATCTAGCTTCCTCTCTACCTGTCCTATAATCTCCCACTCATCTAACTGCCTGCCTCACCCCCTGTTGTACAATCCACGTCATATACCAGCCTTCCCCCCCCCCATATCGCACAATCCACCCCTTGGTCAGTAATGTTGTCTACAAATCCACCCTCCTATAAATTCCGCCCTTGCCCACCGCGCTAGCCGCTATATTCCGTCTCATAAGGCTGGAAATTCTACTTTTGATCGGGCCGATTAAGCACTAGGAAAACCAGGGTTAAATTAAAAAAAAAAGAAACAACGACCAAGCGGAAAATAAAGAAACGGCGGGCACAAGGAGCGTGAGAAAAAAAAAAATTGACTCCGAAACTAACGAAGGTATCGACCAAAAGCCTACTTTGGTAAACAGAAGATGACGACGTTAATTTTAGCTGAAACAAGAAACGTGACTGAAAATGGTATGGAAAGCTAGATAACTCTTTGCGGTAAGACTGAGGAGAAATTTAGGTCGAGCTGCTGCATGTCAGCACGGCATTACCCCGTGATTGTCGGCACGGCATTACCTTGTTGGCACGGCATTACCGTATGCCTGTCGGCACGGCATCCACTATCGCGTGTTTGTCAAAATGGCATTACCTTGTGTTTGTCAACACGACGTTACCTTGTCCTAAAGTTCAACGCCATGTAACCACCATCAGCGTCTGATCCATTGCACTAGTCATTCAGACCGTGACAAACGTCCTACAGCCATACATACAATGGCTGATCCATTGCACTAGTCATTCAGACCGTGACAAACGTCCTACAGCCATACATACAATGGCTGATCCATTGCACTAGTCATTCAGACCGTGACCACGTCCTACAGCCATACATACAATGTCTGATCCATTGCACTAGTCATTCAGACCGTGACAAACGTCCTACAGCCATACACACAATGTCTGATCCATTGCACTAGTCATTCAGACCGTGACCACGTCCTACAGCCATACATACAATGGCTGATCCATTGCACTAGTCATTCAGACCGTGACAAACGTCCTACAGCCATACATACAATGGCTGATCCATTGCACTAGTCATTCAGACCGTGACAAACGTCCTACAGCCATACATACAATGGCTGATCCATTGCACTAGTCATTCAGACCGTGACAAACGTCCTACAGCCATACATACAATGGCTGATCCATTGCACTAGTCATTCAGACCGTGACAAACGTCCTACAGCCATACATACAATGGCTGATCCATTGCACTAGTCATTCAGACCGTGACAAACGTCCTACAGCCATACATACAATGGCTGATCCATTGCACTAGTCATTCAGACCGTGACAAACGTCCTACAGCCATACATACAATGGCTGATCCATTGCACTAGTCATTCAGACCGTGACCACGTCCTACAGCCATACATACAATGGCTGATCGTTTCGCTATTTCATCGTGACGGAAGAGAAAATGCTTTTCAAACATAAAGTTGGGTTCTTTGGCTCTACTTTTTAAAAAGAGCTTTTAAAAAATAAAACCCCAAAGGTTGATTTGAGGTCATTTGGTTGGCGCACTGTAAGAGATACGACCAGTCGAACGTGGGCTCAATACACATTTTCATTGGACAAAGAGACTGAGTTCAATAAATCAGTAAATCTCCGTAAATCAGGCCTGCACAACTCAAAACGTAAGGCGGGTCGGGCCGTAATACTTTATGAAAAACCTGTGTGGGCCGTATATATATAATATTTTATGAGAAACGTGTGCGGGCCGAAAGAAAATGGGACAAGGGGGAAACAATAAAATGATATTAAAAAAGAATATTTCGTTACTTCGCTGGCCACAAAGTGGGTGCTGGCGGGCCGACATGCGGCCCTGGGGCCGTATGTTCTGCAGGCCTGCCGTAAATTACGGATATTGAATGGATTTCCATAAGTAGCGAAAACTTATTGTATATTCTCCAGGGGCGTCATTTCAGGTGTTGGCTTTTTTTTTTTTTGCAAAGGGGGTGGGGGGGGGGGGGCAAAAACCAAAACTTAGTCGGCTTTTTTTTGTTGTNGTAAATTACGGATATTGAATGGATTTCCATAAGTAGCGAAAACTTATTGTATATTCTCCAGGGGCGTCATTTCAGGTGTTGGCTTTTTTTTTTTTGCAAAGGGGGTGGGGGTGGGGGGGCAAAAACCAAAACTTAGTCGGCTTTTTTTTGTTGTTTATTACTGGAGGCGCCACAGTACATAGCAATTTAAATAAAAACCTTTAAAGTCAGGTGTGGAAAGGGGGGGGGGAAATGCATATTCTCTCGCTGGTTCTCTGCGATCTTAAAATTACGCTGATGAACGTTTTCAGGCCCAACTTAAATGCTTAGTTAGCGCCCATCCTCATTTTCTTTTATACTGACCAACGCCCTTAAAAGTGTGTACTGTGTACCGATCGCCACCCTAATCCGTTGTACGGACCAACTCCTTATTCCTACCATACCGACCCATACCCTTATGCCCCACAACTTCGGTTTAAAAAAAAAAATAAATAAAAATTAAAAAATAAGCAAGAAGTTGGTTCCTTGGTCGGAGGTCTGTTTACGTTATTATTGGGGAAGCACATGTCACGTGGGGGCCCGCGTACCAGGGCTTTATGGGTAAGACGGGTTTGGGTTGTGGACACTACGGCGGAACGTTTCTATTAAATACACGACGGCAGAGAGTTGAGAACTTTTTGGTCAACACCTTATTGGCTTGGTGGCACTGTTTGCTTGAGCGTGGATGCCACTGTAACCCAGGGCTGCCACACCTTGGGAATTTTCCCAAGATCTTGGGAATTCACTACAAAAAAAGTGTGAGTCACACAAGATTTTCTTGGCTTATAAAAAAAGTGTGAGTCACACAAGATCGTCTCTTATAAAAAAAAGTGTGAGTCACACAAGATCTTCTTCTCTTATTATAAAAAAGTGTAAGTCACATAAGATCTTCTTCTCTTATTATAAAAAAAGTGTGAGTCACACAAGATCTTCTTCTCTTATCATAAAAAAAAGTGTAAGTCACACAAGATCTTCTTCTCTTATTATAAAAAAAAGTGTGAGTCACACAAGATCTTCTTCTCTTATTATAAAAAAAGTGTAAGTCACACAAGATCTTCTCTTTAAAAAAAAGTGTGAGGTACACAAGATCTTCTTCTCTTATTATAAAAAAGTGTGAGTCACACAAGATCTTCTCTTATTATAAAAAAAGTGTAAGTCACACAAGATCTTCTTCTCTTATTATAAAAAAAAGTGTGAGTCACACAAGATTTTCTTCTCTTATTATAAAAAAAGTGTAAGTCACACAAGATCTTCTCTTATAAAAAAGTGTGAGTTACACAAGATCTTCTTCTCTTATTATAAAAAAAGTGTGAGTCACACAAGATCTTCTTCTCTTATTATAAAAAAAAGTTTAAGTCACACAAGATCTTCTTCTCTTATTATAAAAAAAAGTGTGAGTCACACAAGATCTTCTTCTCTTATTATAAAAAAAGTGTAAGTCACACAAGATCTTCTCTTATAAAAAAGTGTGAGTTACACAAGATCTTCTTCTCTTATTATAAAAAAAGTGTGAGTCACACAAGATCTTCTTCTCTTATTATAAAAAAGTGTAAGTCACACAAGATCTTCTCTTATAAAAAAAGTGTGAGTTACACAAGATCTTATCTTATAAAAAAGTGTGAGACACACAAGATCTTCTTCTCTTATTATAAAAAAATGTAAGTCACACAAGATCTTCTCTTATAAAAAAGTGTGAGTTACACAAGATCTTCTGTTATAAAAGAGTATGAGACACACAAGATCTTCTTCTCTTATTAAAAAAAAAATTAAAAAAAAAACAACAACAACGAATTTTCATCTCCTGAAAATACATTTTGTTGCCATGCGATAGTATTGCATTGTCTGGTTGATGGAGGATAGACTTGTAAATAACCAAATGGACGTACGTCTACTGGCCTCATTGACGGGGTTGAAACGGTCTTAGTCAAACTTCAGTCTAAAAAATTTTTTTTTTTTTTTTTAAATCTCTGCGTCTATGTAGGTCAACGGTGGCAGACTGTAAAACCACCCCCCTGGCCAAAACGTGTCTTTGTAGGTCAATCGTAACCCGCTGCAAACCAGCCACCCCCAAGATGTGTCTTTGTAGGTCAATCGTAACCCGCTGCAAACCAGGCAAACCACCAAGATGTGTCTTTGTAGGTCAATCGTAACCCGCTGCAAACCAGGCAATCACCAAGATGTGTCTTTGTAGGTCAATCGTAACCCGCTGCAAACCAGGCAACCACCAAGATGTGTCTTTGTAGGTCAAAAGCAACCCCTCCTTGAGACATGCCACATATAGTGA